GGCGGGCTGGCCGCGGCACCCCGCGCCCCTCCGCCAGGCCCGCCATGCAGGGCCCCGCCGGGAACGCGAGCCGCGGGCTGCCGGGCGGGCCACCGTCCACCGTCGCGTCCGGTGCGGGCCGCTGCGAGAGCGGCGCACTCATGCACAGTTTCGGCATCTTCCTGCAGGGGCTGCTCGGCGTCGTGGCCTTCAGCACGTTGATGCGTGAGTCCCGGACCCCCACCCTCCTGAGGCCCTGTACGACCACCGCAGGCCCTGCCCAGCCTCGGGGACCCTCCCGCCTCCAGAGTTAAGGCCTGGGGTGCCTTCTGCCCGCGAGCCCGGGCTGGGCATTCCCAAACTAGAGGAGGCTCTGGCCCCGACCCAGGGTCCTGAGTCTCTCGCCTTATCGCTGCAGCCTCTAGCCAGGGTTCACCCCACCTCCTTTCCTCCAGCTTGCTCATGCCTCTCTTCCGAGATACCTGCCTAAAACTAAAACTAGCTCCCTGTCCCCCCCCCCCCCCATTCCCGCTACCTTGTTACCGTGACTTAAGGCTACTCCACTTTCCAGCCTGGGGCCGTGAACCCCCAGTTGGAACAGTCCTTTGTGCCCCCTTTTAGAGTCTCTTCCTAGCCTCCCCTTCTCACTTTTAACCTGCGTCTCTAAATCCCTAGTCTGATGCTGGGCTTTTTCCTGCTCTTTCACATCCCAAAGCTTTGCTTTTAAATCCTGTTACTTTGCAATGTCTGGATTGTAAGGCCATGCATTGCGTCCCCAGTACTACTCCCTCCTGCCCCCTCGCCCTCACCTTTCCCCCCAGCTTTTTTTTCTGTTTTGGTTGGAGCAGGACCCACTCGGACTGCCTTCTTCCCCACGTCTCCTCTTTCCCCTCCTTCCTGAATAAGTCCGCCTGTCCCTGTCCCAAGCTTACCTAATTAAGTTACTTCTCAGGCCTCCCCTGGTGGTTCCCTTTCCCAGCGCAGTTCTGTTCTTTGTATTTCAACTTTTCTTCCTTTCCATGAGACTTGGGACAACCAAGTGGCTTGCTGAATGGAGGAGGAGGTTCAGAGGGTCTGGGGAGGTCTCAGAATCCCTGTGCTAAGTCCCCGTTGGTTCTTCCTTGAGGGTTTGCTGATGGAGGAGAAAACCCCAGATGGCCCTTCTGGAGAACTAGAAGTTCCACCCTGTTGTCATGTGTGCTGTGTGTCATGGGTTTGTATTGTTTTCTTGGCGCACATCCTTACCTTTATTACAGTAACAGGAGGCTTTGGTTGGCTGTAGGCCTAGGAGTGCCCCTGTGATTGCACTTTGGGGAAGGAAGGGTTATAACTATCTGTACAGAGGCATTAATTCCAAAATGACTGGTTCTCAAAACTTCCCCACTGTGCTCAAATGGGCAGAGTGGGAAGTTTCTGCAGAGAGTATGCTCCTTAGCGTTAGGGAGGGGTCCTGCAGCTGTGTGCATCTTATAGCGTGGAGTTGCTAGATTTAGAGTTTTGCTTGTTATAACTAACACAGGGCTTATTTGAGTGAATTATCCCAGGCTCCAGGTAACCCCGAAGAGGCTTTTCTTGGATGCCATTTTCTTCTGGTTGTCTGGCCTTGATAAATCTTACAACAAGTGCCCGACTGTATATGTTTGCCACTTTTTCTTTCCTTTTTAGTCTCTACTTGTCTTGCTATTTTCCCTGTTGAACAAATACCGACTTGTTCCCCCAGGAATAATTTGTGATGACTTAGCCCAAATCAGCTGCTGACTTGGGTGCATGAACTGTATGTGTGTGTTTTCAAGACATTGTGCGCGGGTCTCCACTCCCCTCCTACTTCTGTCTCCTCCAGGTGGCCCTCCTTTCTCTCTGAAGGAACTACAGGCTTACTTTGCATTGTGTTCCCTGACCTAAGATTTCCTAGCCTAGCTCTGGCTGTTTCCGTGGATTTGATTAATGCCGATGGCCCGACTTATTCCTGAGGACTTGATACTTGTGGTTGAGAGAATGAAATGTGATTATGATGGGCAGAGTTGCCCACTGCTGAGAAGTGTGCCAGGTTGCCTGTGTTCAGAGTGACGGCACTGGCCCTGAAGCCTTCAGGGACACACTCGCTTTGCTTAATCTTCGGTGCGAGCACGTGTGCAAACCCCACTGCGGCTGGCGCTTTCTGCATGCAAAGACCGGACGACAGCGTGGCCTTTTGCTCAGCGTAAGGCTAGACGTGGAGGGAGCGTGTGGAAATGGGCACTGGGTCATGGGACTGTGATGAGAAGGAGGGTCGGGGAGAAGAGGTAGAAGGGCAAGGACTGTGTCTCCCCTTGCTCATCTCCTAGACTTGTTGGTTCTGTCCAGAGAACTGTGGGGCTTTTCCCTCTGGGAAAAGGGAGGGGGTCTCTCAGGGAAGTCTGTGAGCCATTTGGCTTTGGGGGGCTCTGTCTTCCCAGACACGGCGTCGGTTCCCCAGTCCAGCAGAGCTGCTGGCTAGAGTGCCAGGCTCCCATGACAGGAGCGTCCACCTTGCAGCCCTTGTGGGAGGTCTTGGTGTGTGAAGATGAGGCCACTCCATCCTTCATCATCAATTCTACCGTTTATTTTGTTGAGCATATTTTAAATTCTTTTTTTTTTTTTAAGTTTATTTGAGAGAGTGTACAAGCGAGCTCACGAGTAGGGAATGGGCAGAGACAGAGAGAGAATCCCAAGCAGGCTCCTGTCAGCGTGGAGCCCAATATTGGGCTCGAACCCACAAACCAAGAGAACATGACCTGAGCCAAAACCAAGAGTCTGATGCTTAACCGACTGGGCCACCCAGGTGCCCCATTGTCAAGCATATTTTAAATAGCAGTCATCTCTCCTGAGCAGTTTAACAGTCCCTACCCTCTTTGGGGTCACAGTCTTTCCCTCCTGAGAGCTTTTGTCCCCCTGTGCCATGGGCTTACTTCCTCTCTTCTCTGACAGTTCCCCAGCTCTGCGGGCAGGTACTGTCCCATTTTCCTGTCAGACCAGCTCTGTGCCATCAGCTGCACCCCCTTCTCTGCCAGACAGGCCGAGGGACTTTTCATCACTTCACATCCCTGATTTCAGTGGATCCTTAGACCACTGTCTTTGTTTCTTTTTCTACCCAGAATATCACTTTTGGTCTCCATTTACAGGTTGTTGTTTTTTACCTGGAGGGTTTTGTCCTGGAGGATGTCTTCTGATATATATATACAATAAAAATCCTCCCCTGAGATGTTAATATATATATTAATGATAATGTTATTATATATAACAATGTATAATATATATAACATATTACAGCATAATATATAATATGTTATAATATACAATATAGATTAATTTATTATAATTATTGCTACATAATATTATTATATTAATAATTAATAACATTATTATAGTATATATTAATGTCTCAGGGGAGGATTTTGATCCCCACAAGGATCTCCCATCATAGTGCTTACCTCTGTTGTGGGGGTTTTTAGATGGTCTCAGCCCAGGTAGATGAGAGTTTGAGTGCCAAGTGATGCCTGGAGTCTTTCTTCGAGCTACATAAACACACTGACTATTATGGGCCAGCATCCACAGACATGTTTCAGTGTCAGCGACACCTTGCTAAGTAGTGAGCTTTCCAGAGGCTCCACGTAAGCTACCCTTTGTATGTGAGGAAAGCTGAACACACTCAGAGGCAAGCTTATTAAGGGACTTCCCGCTCTGGTTCTCTGGGACATCACTGAGAAGCCTTGGTGTCTGAGTAGAAAAAAATGCTTTAAATGAGGGACTTGTTGGGGGGCGGGAGAGGGGAAAATGGGTGATGGGCATTGAGGAGGGCACTTGCTGGGATGAGCACTGGGTGTTACATGTAAGCGATGAATCACGGGAATCTACCCCCGAAACCAAGAGCACGCTGTACACACTGTATGTTAGCCAACTTGACAATAAATTATATTTAAAAAAAAAAAAAGTCAAAAAATAAATAAGTGAGGGACTTGTCATGACCTGCCTGCTGAGCAGTTCCTCATGTTTTGGTGGCTTTATCTCCAGTCTGTGGCTCAATGAAGTCACTCAGCCCAGAGTCCCAGCAGAGCAGAGCTGAGCAGTCCCAGAAACTCAGCACACTGTTCCCACTGCAGGGCAGCGGCCCAGCTGCCGGCCAAAGGTCAGCGTTGACCAGTGTGTGTGTTGGCATTTGGGAGTGTTTGTTCCCAGGACGTGTGATGCAAAGCAAACGCAAGCCTCTTTCGCCGTGCACAGTTGAAGTTCTGGGCCAAAGTATAGACAGAGTTGGTTTTTAACACAACAAGCATTTTGAAAGCTTGGATAAATCTACCTGTGCCTATTTTCGTGTTACAGATGTGGGGACTAGCCAGCTGGGTGAGGGTGGCCGTGTTTTACAAAAATACTGCTGGCATTGAGAAATGATAGTGTTCCTGAGACCCAAAGTAACATCACAAACCAGTCTGCCCAGCCTTGAAATCTTAATCTTAAACAAGAGTCCCTGGTGTTTTCTCACGTGGTGAACAGCCTCCTTATGTGTTCTGTACACACAGACCTGCTGGGACCACCCCTTCCTGGAATCACCTCTGCCTACCCTATTCCAGTTTTTATCATACAAAACGTCAAACATGCAGCAAAGATGAAAAATAACACAGTGATAATACACTATCTGCCCTCTGCCTAGTTCAGAAATTGTTCATGTTTTGCCACATCTGTTTTCTCTCTTTGTACTTTTTTTTCTTTTTTTCTTTTTTTTGGCCAAGCCATTTGAAGCTGAGTCGCAGCCAGGATCATACTTTACCCCGAAAAATTTCAGTTGAGTCTCCTGAGAATAAGGACAGTCTTCTTCATAATCACAGTTTCACGATCATGCGTAAGAAAATGGATAACTCCACAATATCATCTAACATCCAGTCCATGTTCAGACTACCCCACACATCACAAATCTCCCATAGCTGGAGTTTTTAAAACCTGTGAGCCAGTCAAGGTCCACACATAGCATTTGGTTGTGTTTTGAAGTCACTTTTACAGTAGAAAAATCTCCCCCTAAACACACACGCGCGCGCGCACACACACACACACACTTACACACTCACACACTGTTTTTTGTTATTTGTTTTTAATGGCCTTGCCTTTCTTTTTAATGTTTATTTATTTTTGAAGGAGAGACAGAGCACAAGTGGGGGAGGGGCAGAGAGAGAGGGGGAGACACAATCCAGAGCAGGCTCCAGGCTCCGAGCTGT